GGGGGGCTGGAGACCTCCCGAGGCCCCTTCCAGCCAGAGGTACTCGATGGAAAACCAGCACCTTGGCTGTTGGAAGGGCTTCCCTTCATCGTCTGGGTCCGCGGTGGATACCAGCCCACGCGCCCCTTTAAAGGAAACTTTTGCAGAGGGAAAAACTGCCTGATGCTGTCTTAGCTACGCTCCTTTGGGGCATTTCCTACTGAAGCTGCAGGAGAAATCCTGGCTCTGCTGGGACCAGAGGTGAAACGCTTTTGGCCTCAGGAGAGCCGGGAATTTGCCTCAGGCAAAGTTCTAAACCCCACCAGAAAAACACACGGGCTGGGTTTCTCCTCGAAGGTAGTGGCACTTTCTCCTCTGTGTGTGGCACCTCAGCTCCTGCCTCCGTGAATCCCATCTGCCCATCCGGGGAGCCCAGCCTGCCTGCAGCACCCGGCTTTTCTGCCTGCAGACCCTTTGTGGATGTTCCTGAGTGTCTTCTTTTTCCGGGGAGAGGTGGAAGCCGCTGTTAGGATTCCCTGTGCAGTAATCCGTCTCTCCATCCCTCTGTCTCTCAACAGACTATGCAATTTCCAAACCTGGTGTTTTGTCTCAGATCGAGCAAGGAGAGGAATCGCGGGTCAGGAACGAGCAGGACTTGGAGGAGAGCGAGATCATTACCGATGCCACCGCAGGTGAGAGGGCAGCTTGGCACGAGGGGTGCCCTGGGCTGCGGTCGGAGGAGCTGCTCACCCTGAGGCTAAAGCCGAGAGCCGCGTCGCAGCGGGAAAGGTTTGGCTGATCAGAGATTTGATGTCCAGGCACAGCTCAACGTAGAAACCAGGGCAAGTGGAGTCCAGAGACTCGGGCACTAGGAGCCATCAGCAAGGGGAGCATCTGCAACCCGAGCAGGTCCTCAGGGGGCTGGTGGGCCCGGCAAGAAAGAATCAGGTCCCATTGGGAAAACTCTCCCCCAAAAAAACCCTTCCCCAGCCTCTCTGGTTGTGTGGCTGGTGTGCCTGGGTTTATCCTTGGAGCATCCCCTGGGGCAGGGAAGCCTGCTCCCGTCCTGCGCGCAGGGCCTCGGGGTGCTGCGGCGTTTCTCCAAGGGCTGGGCTGGGAGCAGGACACCAGGGACCCTGAGTCCCGGAGCGACTCCCGCTCTGAGATAACGGGGATGATAGGGAGATAAGGAGGTGTCCCAGAAGAGATGGTGTCACCTCCGCTGCTGGTCTCTGGCCTCAGGCTGCGGACGTGGGGTCGCTCCAGCCCCGTGCGCTTGGTCATGAGGATCTTGAAGTTAAATTGAGGCCAACGGGAAGAGAAAAGTCATCTTCTGCCCACGGGATGCTGCTGGCCCAG